TGTGAGGTGACTGGAACGGGACTCCCCACAGACTGAAGGGGCGTAAGCATTTCCAAGTGCCTGTTGCTCATTTTTATGCATTGCACTGCTGTGCTTATTGATGTATTATTTCACAGTAGCTGTGTAACATCTGGCAGTATTAAGCCTGTAATAGTAGTCACGCAGTGAGATTAATAAAAGCAACTATTCCTAATCGACTCTGTCTTGAAGCAAATCCACTACCCTGTTGGGCCCTGGCCCTGTGAGTTGACAGGGGGTTCGACAAGAGGAGAGGCAATTCTTGATTTAGTCCCAAGCAGCACACAGGACCTGGTTCAAGAGGTGACTATAGATGGACCAACTGGTAATAGTAGTATAATTCAATGCAACACCCCTATGGTGGCAATTACACTACAGCAGCACAACACTGTAGCATTTAATTTCAGAAAGGGGAAGTATATAAAAATGAGATGATTCATTAAACAGAAATTAAAAAGTACAATGTCAAATGTGAAATCTCTGCAAGCTGCATGGAACCATATTAATAACACAATCATAGAGGCTCAACTTAAATGTATATCCCAAATCTAAAAAACTCAACACAATACCATGATCAGGAAACAAAAAACAATTATAAAAAATGCCACCGTGGCCAAACAACAAAGTAAAAGAATCAGTGAAAGACAAAAAGGCCTCCTTTAAAAGTGGAAATTAAATCCTAGCGAGGAAAATAGAAAGAAACAAACTCTGGCAAATGAAATGTAAAAATATACTTAGTAAGGCCAAAAAAGAATGTGAAGAACAGCTAGTCAACAACTCAAGGTAATAGCAAAAAAATATTCCTGCTTACATCAGAAGCAGGAAAAGTGTTAACAACCAGTGGAGCCACTGGACAATTGAGATGCTAAAAGAGCACTCAGTATGAAAAGGCCATTGGGAAGACACTAAATGAATTCTTCACATCAGTCTTCACAGCTGAGGATGTGAGGGAGATTTCTAAGCCTAAGCCATTTTTAGGTCACATATTTGGGGAACTTTGTAAATGACAAATTTGAGGAATTGTGGTGTCATTAGAGAATGTGTTGGAATAAACTGATAAACTAAACTGTAATATGCCATCAAATCCAAATGATATTTACCCAAGAGTACTGAAGGAACTCAAATGCGAAATTGGAGATCTACTAAATGTAGTCTGTAACCTAACCTTTGAATCAGTTTCTGTACCAAATGACTGGAGAATGTGACACCAAATTTTAAACAGAGCTCTAGAGCAACTAGACATAAATAAGCTTGACTTAAATATGAGACAAATTGGTTGAAACTATAGTGAAGAACAAAATTGTCAGACATATAGATGAACATAATTTGTTAGAGAAGAGTAAACATTGTATTTGTAAAAGGAAATCATGCCTCACCAATCTACAAGAATTCTTTTGGTGGGTCAGCAAGCATATGGACAAGGGGGATCCATTAGATATAATGTATGTAGATTTTCCAAAATCCTTTAATAAGGTCTCTCACCAAATGCTTTGAAGCAAACTAAGCTGTCACAGAATAAGAGGGAAGGTCTTATAGCCTGGTAACTGGTGAAACAAAGGGTAAGAATGAATTCACAGTTTCAGAATGGAGAGAGGTAAATAGCAGAAAAAGGGGTAAACAGCGAGGTGAAAAAATTTGCAGAGAATACAAAACTATGTAAGACAGTAAAGTTCAATGCAGACTGCAAGAACTGCAAAAGGACCTCACAAAACTGGGCGACTGGGCAACAAAATGGCAGATGAAATTTAGTGTTGATAAATGCAAAGTAATGGTATTATGTTTTCCAATGTGCAACTGTACATATAAAATGGGGACCTTGGGGGAGGGGCTAAATTAGCTGTTACCACTTAAAAAGGAGATCTTGGCATCATGGTGGATAGTTCTCTGAAAAAAAGCCTCAATTTTTGTGCAATGTGCATCCAAGAAAGTGAACAGAATGGTGGGACACATTAAGAAAGGGATAGCAAATGAGACAGTAAATATCATATTGCCTCCATAAAAATGCACGGTAGGCCCACATCTTGAATACTGTATGCAGATGTCGTTGTCCCATTTCAAAAAATATCTTGGAATTGGAAAAGGTTCATAGAATCATAGAATACTAGGACTGGAAGGGACCTCGAGAGGTCATCGAGTCCAGCCCCCTGCCCTCATGGCAGGACCAAATACTGTCTAGACCATCCCTGATAGACATTTATCTAACCTACTCCTAAATATCTCCAGAGATGGGGTTTCCACAACCTCCCTGGGCAATTTATTCCAGGGTTTAACTACCCTGACAGTTAGGAACCTTTTCCTAATGTCCAACCTAACCCTCCCTTGCTGCAGTTTAAGCCCATTGCTTCTTGTTCTATCCTCAGAAGCCAAGATGAACAAGTTTTCTCTCTCCTCCTTATGACACCCTTTTAGATACCTGAAAACTGCTATCATGTCCCCCCTCAATCTTCTCTTTTCCAAACTAAACAAACCCAATTCTTTCAGCCTTTCTTCATAGGTCATGTTCTCTAGACCTTTAATCATTCTTGTTGCTCTTTTCTGGCCCCTCTCCAATTTCTCCACATCCTTCTTGAAATGCTGTGCCCAGAACTGAACACAATACTCCAACTGAGGCCTTACCAGTGCAGAGTAGAGCGGAAGAATGACTTATTGTGTCTTGCCCACAACACACCTGCTAATGCATCCTAGAATCCTGTTTGCTTTTTTTTGCAACAGCATCACACTGTTGACTCATATTCAGATTGTGGTCCACTATAACCGCTAGATACCTTTCTGCCATACTCCTTCCTACTTGTTCAGAAAGGGCAAGAAAATTATTAGGGGTATGGAAGTCCCCCCTGCACAGTGAAAATGCTAATAGCTGAGCTAAGTGGTGGCTTCTCAGAGTGGCAGTGAGTGGCAAGCAGTGGTGATTACAACAGCAGCGATAGTAACAGTAAAAGAGTTGCAGAGGCAGTGGCAGCATTGCTTGATGTGTCCTTCCCCCCCTTTCATAGCTGAGAGGTGATCCCACATGAACTCTCTTCTGAATTCTGGGTCCTTGCCAACCAAGAACCACCACCTCACTGGGGTGCAGAGGGAAAAGGAAGTGGGGTGTTAAAGGGACATTCTGACAATGCAGTGTAAAAGTCTAATGTGAGTCAGCAGAGAATGCTGCCCAATGTACTTGTGGAGTGAATATTTGCTTATGGTTACATGCTTTCAAATCATGATTGTGGTTATTCCCCAAATTAAGGATGGGCTCCCTTTCCTTTTAATAGAAGTTTTCCTTTGTTATACACTGACTCAGTGCTCATGAGTGGGACATTTTGCCTCTTAGAGGCACCCAGGAGTGGTGTTTAGTTTTCCCAGATTAGTGGGTGAGGTTCAAGCTGTTTTTGTTTTGTATCGTTAAGAGGAACCCCTAAATAAGGAACCGGGCCCTTATTGTTGCCAGCACCACGTTCCAGAAGGGTTACATGTTATAAAATGTGGGTATGTATTAAAAAAAGCAAAGCAACAGGAAGAGGGCAAGTCATCAATGACAAAAGAAGGCTTTTTAAGAAATGGAAAAAATAGAGAGAGGTTAAAAACCAAAGCAACACAATACATTGAATCAGAAATAATGTAATCTTGTAAATTTTCTTAGCATTACCCTTTTCCCACCTGTTTGTGAAACTCCTTTGTCTCTGGCCCCATTTGGATGGTCTTTCAGGATCCATACTTCCCTTCTAAATTAGTAGCATTTCTAGGCACTGCTGTAACAGTAATAGTTATTGTTGGATGGTCTTTTGTTTGATCAGTTTCCTCCCAATGACACATTCTGACTCTGACCATGAAAATGTTTTTATTATTTTAAATAGATCTCTCCTAATCCAACACTGACAGTCTTCATGTAGCAACATTAATAAGAAATCATTAAGTCAGAATGTCGAGTAGCTGTAAAGCTGAAGTATTTTCTAAGGACTCCTCTCAGTAAACAAAATATAAAAATGCAGATGACTTCTTTTATTTGATGGCAGGGACTGTGATTTTGAGCATTCTTTTGTGTTCATGTAACTACATGTTGAACCTCTCTAGTCCAACACTCTCTGGTCCCTCATGATTTTAGGTAACTGGATATCCACTTATCATGGGTGTAGCGAAGTTTTTCAGAGTCCCATAAAGTTTGTTGACAGCCACCAGTCCTGGCTTTCAGTCCTGTGCTGTTATTTAGTTCTAATTTACCCCTAAATGTCTTCTAAGAGCCCAGTAAGAGGTGAAAGTGTCGGTAATGCTGCTAGATAATACTGATCTCCCGTGGATTGGCAAATTCTATGGTTTGGTACTGGTGAAATCCTGAGGGTGGCCAGACTGGAGAGGTTAAACCTGTAGAAGGTTACCACAATTAAAAAAAAACCAGCCTTAGAAAGATCAAGCAACTTTTTAAAGCAGCGATATAGGACAACTTCCACAAACATACACTTTGTTTTATTAAGGTTTTTCACATGACTTTAGTTTACATAGATAATTCATTGAAAGATTTTGATGAAGGGAGATAGAGATATTGATGTACACTGAAATTATTGACCGTTACAGTTGTCTACTGCTTTTATGCAGCCAGTTATTGAGAGAGACCAACATGGCCTTGACTAGACCTAGACATCTGAGTAGAGGCCCATCGAACTGCATGGTAATTGCTCACAATAATCCAAATGACAGGAGATTTTTAATCAGACGTTTACTTTCTTCAAACACTTCTATTTTTCCCTTTTGCTGTTCAGAAAGATTTTAATATTTTCTCTTTATGCATTGGTAATCTAAAGGATTACAAATCAAACTGTGTATCTATAGTTCTGACAAACACGTCAGAGAATGAGACCACAACCTCTAAGAGAACCACTTTTATACACATTGGTTATATTATAGAACATTTCTTAAAACTATTATTTATTCCCATGAATATGTGGATATTTTTGGTGAAAATTCAATTAAATAAAAAAACAAACAATCACTGAATTCTTTGCATATTTTATTTTTCTTTTTTGGATTTCCAACTCACACACATCTGGCATATTTTACATCTTTGCAATAAAACATGGTTACAATAGCTTAAGGAATTTATATATCCAAAATATTTCACCATGATCTCAAGATGAAATGAACTTGTCTTCCAGATGTTCAGTATTCTCCCAATTCTAAGCTACAAACTCAAGATATTGCTTACAGACTGGTGATGAATAACTTAATCATTACGTTGATTCCCCATGATTCCAGAATCTTATAAATACAAACAACAATGAAGAAGGAATTCAGTGCTAAAACTTACTAATACAAGGTGGAGAACAAATAAGTAATCACATCAATAAATAATGATATGTTTCTGGTGCAAAGTGCCAATACAAAGAATCCATTATCATTTTAAATAAATGACTGCAAGTGAGTGTAAATTCTGAGAAAATTACATTCCTGTTACATGCCTCATAGCCCTACCGACACAATATGTACATCTATGACAATACAGTCACCAAATATACAAAGAAGAAACATGAAGTAAAGTGTATATACCCCTGGGTGTATAATTTGATCAGTACAATGTGTGAAAAATTATTCTGATAGTCATCATTACAGTATTGTAAAATGTGAAGTGCCTTAGGCTGAGAATGTGACTTCCTGTGAGATTTTCAGAAGAAGCTAAAAGAATATAAAATAATAACTTATCTTTGCACTAAAGCTAAGGTTGTTAAACAAATCAAGCTATGCAGAGGAAAAATAAGAGAAAAATGTAACTGAGGCTCCTCTGTTACCTCAGTGGACCATATGCCAAATGTGGTGAATCCAGAAGTATAGCACTTTTGCTGTGTTGGGAGTCATTAAGCACTATAGGGCATTACAAGACTCTTGAGGATATAATGAAAATCAGAACCTTTCCACTACCCTCTCTTTCTGACTTGTCCATAAGTTTAAAAGTAAAGAATTTAACTTTAATTGTATAAGTATGGCAAATGATGGCTTCTTATCCAAATGCTTCATGAACTCCACTTGGAAGAGAATGAGTTTAGATTTAAAAAGTGAAAAACGTATTTTGGTGAAAATGTCAAAATTACCTATTGCACCCAAATTCAATCCTTTAACACAAGCTGTACCCTTAGACAGATCTCCAGTTTAATTGTGTGAATACCCCTGTTCCATCAAGACATCAGGTTTAAAGTACATGCAAGTTGTAACTCCACAATAAAATTAAGAAACATTTTTGTTCTTTATACAAGGTTTTACTTTTACAAAAGTATCCCTTCAAAGTTAAGATGTGCATCTGATGTACAAAGTATCAAACATATTTTTTCTCAGCTTGAAAAGAGACTGGAAATGGGATGCATGTTAGTTTCACAGACTAAACATCGTAACAACTGGACACAAGGTTCCTCAGAGTTTTCAAAAGTCTCTTGTGGCGCATCCTACTATCTTTTCTCAATAAACAAAGATATATGAAATAATTACCAAAACATCTCCTAATTCATATAATTTACATGATACGAGCTTGCTTCTCAGCAGCTGGTGTTCAGTTGTGAAAAAAACACACAAAATAAAATGGTTGCTGACTACAATGTACAGCTATTGCTGGGTGTAATGGAATGTACAACGGAGGTCAATGCAGACATGTTTTTCCACCAGATATTATGCCTTTCATTGTAGCACTTGTGCTCTCAGCTTTATCTTGGCTTTCAGTTCTTCATTCAGCTTCAGTATCTGTTCTGATGCTCATAATGCCACCGATTAAAATCTATATTAAAAGCTACAATGCTACCAGAAGCCATGCCAGTAATCAGAGTTCTGAAAAAGGTAAAAAGATGGACTGTAGGTGCTGGATTTGTTACATTTTTTTACCATTAGTCATCCTTTAACTTTCTAAAACTTCAGCTTATGCTTAATATTAAAGATAGTAACAGCACAGGGGTTTCTCTTTGAGAGTCATATATAAACATTGCACTAATTAGGTGTATTTAAACAATTTCATACTGAATATGCTCCTAGTTTCTTTCTTTAGAAGAAATAATGACAATGAATTTCTAGTTTCAATTGTGAGCCTGAGTTCTTCTTACATGCATCCTACAATTGGATCTTGGATGTTAACCAAATGATACTAAACACTACAAAATGCATTCTCTCAGTTCCCACTTAACTGAGAATAATCATGTAATGAAAGTAAGCATGAGCTTATGTTCATTGCTGAAATGGGGTATCAGAACCCAGTATTAGAACCAGAAGTTAGAGAAATTAATCTAGTAAACAAATCTATATTTGTTAATTGTAAAAGAGAGGTTTAGAACACTTTACAGTACTGCAATATAAAATGGCAGAATTCTAAGAGTAAATAAGTCTCATTCTGTAAGTTTGTTTGGATTTGACTAAATCTGAGGCTATGCCTACACAGGACACCTCACAATGCTGTGCTGTTGTAAGGTCTGCTTTGTGGCTGCACTTTATCATCGGGAGAGTAGCTTCAGGAGAGGGAGCACACCAGTACTTTTTGTTGCTAGAACTTTTGTCATTTGGGGGTTAGATTCACACTCCTGAGCAACAAAAGTTTTAGTGATGAAAGTACCTGTGTTGACATATCCTGAGACAGAAATCTTATTTCAGAACACCAAACGATATACAAACAAACTGAGTAGGCATTTGATGTATGGTTATTTTTGGTGCTGTATCAAACAGTGGTACACAGTTTACAAACTCTAAAAACAATAAGAAAAATATGCTGAAATGGTTTTAAAATGGGACTTTTCGTGTTTCATAAGTGTGAGTTTTGCTGACAAACACCATACTGACAAATGATGAAAAAACTAAGCCCACTCACATGCCATCATAAATACATCATTAGGGCTTACATTTTAATCACACTAAAATAGGAGATTCAGAGACCGGGCTCACATATTCTTGGACTGGCCCTGATCCTCACTCAGGCCCTGATCCTGTAAACACGCATGCATAGGCAATCAATCCAGATCCTTGACTTCCATAAATCAGTGCATTTCAGATGAAGTCAGAGTAACTGTCCTTATTTACAATAAGGGAGGAACAGGTGCATGAGACTGCATGTCTGCTTAAAGTTAATGCACATGTATAAGCACCTACAGGATCAGAGCCTAAAATGCCTATTCAGCTAGATCAATAAGAAATAACTGAGAGCATATTTGTATCATTTATTTTAAATTAAATATATATCACTGCTTCAACACTCTAACGCCAAGGGAACAGTATTAATAGTTCTCTTTAACATTTACTGGGATCATTTTAATGCTAATGCTGCAACTTACCTCTGATCATGAGACAGGTCCATTGCTCTAATGCCAGCATCACAACCAGGGTAAATATAGAGCTGTTTAAAATCACAAGCCTGCCACACTTCCACAACTCCATTGTCCCCCCCAGTCACCAGATTCTGCCCGTCACTGCTCAGGAGGATGGCCTTCAAAAGGGACAAACAAAAGCAGTAGCCTCAGTTAGTACTGGAGAAAGCTAACAGAGTTCCACAAATAGCTTTCACCTGTGGACTGATCTTTCATGTTGCTTCCCACAGTTAAAAGTGAAGATAAATACTTAAAAATAAAGAGTTTAAGGGCCACAAATCTTCAACAAATTACGTGTGCGCTTTAAAATGATACTTAAATAAATTTCACCTGTGACTTGCAAAGCTTTTACGTGCCAAAACGTGAGTTCAGCATGAAAAACTTGTGTCTGCCCTATAGTCTCTGAAGCCATCACCAACACCTAAGGCAGAGGAGAAAACTCCTTACACTGCTTCTAGTGCTAGGGGGAGAACAGGGCCTGAAGTCATACCTTGGCCAATCAGTGAAGGAGGAATTAGTTTCAAACAATTTCATTTTAAAGACATACTCCCCACTGAAATTTAAGTCTAAACTTAAATTCTAGGAATCCTCTGGTATCACAAGCTATTTGTCCTTATCTATTTTGTCCAGAAGGGGCAGGGCCTCAGGCAGAAGGGACAGGGCAGGGGGCAGCCAACCCACAGTATCGCCCAAAGCAGTAGTGGTGGCAACAAAGGGGAACCCTGAGTCCTTTTGAATTGTTGGGCCTCAGGGCAACCGCCTCCTTTGATCTCCCCCACCCCATGGTGGGCCAGGTTCACATCTAATTTGAGGTGGACATAAGAGGATTTCTATTTGAACATGACATCTTCTGAGAACAGCAATTTTGCATGTTATTTTCTCTGAATAACGTTACAAATACATTCCATTTGTTTTAAAAGGGAGTGCAGTGTCAAAGGGTTGTTTGCATTTTGATTTACCCTGGTTGAGTCATTGATCTCCATTTGAGCTAAGAGTTTGCCATTAATGCTGAAATTGCTGAATCGTCCTCGCTCATAGTAGATGATGCAGTGGCCTTCACTAGATACTGAAATTAAGCGTGGGTACAAGCAGTTTTCAGTCCCTTCCAGTGCTCTCAGCAAATCTCCAGTAATTGTGTGTACCAGACAAGGACCTTCTGTACATTGAAAACAATAAAATATATTATACAGATGTTCATGTTGCAAACTATATATAGTATGCATACATGCAGTATATGTTACAGCACTACTATACAAACACTGGAAGACATAGTCCCTTACCTAAAGAGCTTACAGTCTGAAACTACTGCCACAACAACAAAGCAGATGGCAAATGAAGGAAAAGGGTACAGCATAAAAGCAGAATATTTTTTATTTACTCTGACCATTAATTGCTTTCATTTGTGAGTATTTTTATCCCCTTTCTAAAAATTAATCTTTGCAAAGCCATCCCATCCTCTTCCCCCCAACTGTTCAGGAGTCTGTCAAGCTGCATCCCCCTCCCTTGTTAATGTGAATTCATCCCACTCCTCCGCCCCCCATCAGACAGCCAAACAGATGGGGCCCCTAGCAGTATAAGGTACAGAAAGCTCTCTGGGGACAAGGGAGCCATGTCACCACATGTTTCTCTTGCAGTCACTGCCAGTTCCTGCAGGTCTTCTCCCCCCATGGATGTATAACATACTCAGTTTTTAATACTGAATGAGTGTTATAACACATGACATTAAAAAGTCAACATTTGTGGCAAAAGTATAAAAGGAACAACATACTTTTCAAGTGCTGGGCTCATCAATAACCATTTAAGTAATTTTTTACCATGTCTGAGTGGTGGAAATTTCTTTGGGAATCTAGAAAAAGGTTCTGTGCTAAGAGCAATAGTCCTGTCTGTCACAAGTGTAACAAGCAGCACAATCTTTCTCTTATAGAGCGTGGGCCCAGATCCAGCAACTGGATTCAGGCACCTGCTTAGAGCCCCTAACTTCAGCCAACTTCAACACATGGGCCCACAGGTCTGCCCAGTTAGATGCTGTTGCAGAATCTGGGATACAGTTTATAAATTATTTGGGAAAAGGACTATGTTTTCCATATAGAGTCTAATAAAATTAAAGTTGAATCATTTCTAAGGCCATTGGACATTGCCTCCATAGAAAAAAATAATCATTTAAAACTGCCATTTGTCAACTTTGAAACAGTAAATGAAATGCAGGAAAATTGTGAGACACAGATAGACCCAGTTTTAGAACAATTAAAAACTAATTAACTCAAAAGAGAAGTAGACTGACAAACTAGCTGTATTCTCAGCCCACATGAACCATCACGGACTGGAGAAGATAAATAAAGGAAATCATCTTATTTTGGATGCTGGCCTAAAAACATGCACACACACCACTCATGTTTATGTTTGAACAAGAACATAAGTAGGCTTAGGGAAATATTCTCAATTTAATGCATAGAAACTCTGCCTCCTTGCCTAGTCATGTCCTCGTGCATTATTATCTGGAGTTGTATGTCTGTTACCACAGTGAAATGAAGTACTAGAAAAAGCATAATGTGTAAGGGAATGACAGGAAAGGTGCAGTCAGGGACATGTGAGGTTTCCCAAGAGAGCTGAGTCCATGCAGTGTTGTGGTAAAAACAGAAGTAGAGAAATTGAAAAGGAGGGAAACTGCAGGGGAAGCTTGAGAAGAGGAATCAGTGAGAAAACACAGACCAGAGAACTTGAATCTATGTACCATAGGGGCTGGCATAACTAAGGAAAAAGCATTGGCAGGACAGCTTAGGAGAGCAGAATTTGATGGTGCGTTTCTGGGACTAACAGTGTAGGTCCCAATTCCTTTTAATGAATCAGGGATGTACTCTTTATTTGATATGCAAGTCTTGAGTTATCTAGCACAATGCCTCTAAAAAGATCTGCATTACTAACACCTTACATTTCAACTAGCATCTAATGAAGCTGAGGATAGACCACCCCAGTGGTCCCCAACCTTTTGGGGCTGCCAGGCACCCGGGGCCAGGGCCGCTCACATGGTGCACATCTGAGGCAGGGCTGCTCACGTGGCACATGTTTGGGGGCAGGGCTGCTCACACACCATGCATCTGGAGGCGGGGCTGAGCATGCGCCGCGTGCCCGGGGCAGGGCCACCCATGCACTGTGCGCTGGGGGCGGGGCTGGCCCAGATCATTCGGCGGGTGCACATAAATGCCCAGGCGGGCGCCATGGCTCCCGCAGGCACTGCATTGGGGACCATTGGTCTACCCTAACCATTATAATGGAAAATAGTTTGCAACAATACAATTCAAAAGGATACAGTCCAATTGCAATAAAATATTATGAAACTGGCTTATGGGCTAAGAATTAATATCAGAAGCCTTCTTATATGCCATTATTGGAATTAATGACCCAATAGTATTTCCTGTATTTAGGGTTTCAAAGTCAGCTATGAAAATAAATGGTGAGCTCAAAGTTGTCATAAAATTCATCAGTCCAACAAGCTTGACTGTGAATGTATGGGGCACAAAGATTAATCAACCTGGCCTTTTTATCCTCAGAAGCAACAACCCTTCAAAGGAATTAGCGGAAAGATAAATTCCTATGAGGAGACACAGACGAAATAGACATCATCTTGAGGAGATGAGGAAGAGGTTTGGATTTGGGGGAGAAGGTATATGAATAATCCAGGAGAAGGAGCTGGGATAGAAAAAAATGGGGCATGGGGACCCGTGAAGAGTGAATAGAATCATGTGGAGAGAAGAAGAAGAGAAGAAGGGAAGTAAGGGAGAAGACATAAAGTAACAGAGGTGAGTAGGAAAGGGTTATTTTGAGTACTTTTATTAATAATTGATGGGTACTCTAAATTCTACAGAGAAATAATTGGAGAAATAGGGAAACAAATAATAATTCAACGTAAGGCTCAACACTTTCTAATGGAAGATGGCATATCTATGTCCAGGCTTCTGCTTCTTTGGAGAACTGCTCACTAAAAACCCAACATTGTACATGTTTGTATCTATTCATGGGCCCAAGCACAATCCAACAGGAGAATGGGGATAACCTAAATATGCCTAATTTTTATTTGAAATATCTCAGCTAACTTGGTGGCAGGGGCTTTCCTAGCTGGCTCTTCCCACTTTCCTATATTTCTACCTGCTGGTTTGTATCAGGCTACGAGTGTGTACAGTGTTATTATCTGAGTTTCCACCAAAGTCTGTGCACTGGAATAGATAGAAGGTAATGTTTTCTGATATACCAAGTGTGTTTGTGTCTGACAGTCATATGTATCAATAGAAAATGTAATGTTCAGCGTTAGCAGCTGCTGAAACTATTAAAGTATGTTTTGGTAGAGGAGACTTAGGATAATTAAATTAAACTTGGCTCAAAGGAACACTGACAAACAGTCACTGAAGGAGACTTTGAATTTTTGAAACTTCAAATGTAAAATGACTTCTGACCTTTAGCACCGCTGATAACAAGTCCCAGCTCTGCACAGACAGATACACAGACAACTTCATGGTCATGACCCGTTAGAACAGCCCTAGGAGCAGGATAATCACCTGTAAAAAAAGCAATAGTAAGGAATTACAAATCAAACATTTTGCAGCAATAAAGGAGGAGGTTTGCTGCAATTTGTTTTAAATCATTAAGCATCAGAGGAAGGTGCAATCTGCTTAAATGTCTCATTCTTAGATTTTCTGTGCAGAACTGTATTTGAACCTCATCAGGGTTCTCATAAAGCAACACATCAATGCTCACTTGTTTACATAAATATACCTCTATTATTTAGTAACCATGGGAGATGTGCTGTGTATGTCTCATGGGATGACAGTAGGATACTGAAAATCTGTGGTGTGCATTCTAACTACACTGAAAAGAGAAATGCATTCCAGAGAACACATGGAATATGGCATTATTAAAGGTAATAGTAACACAATGATATGCAATGTAACATAACACATACTTCTAGGAAAAAGAAATATGAAAAAATTATGGTGGATTTCTGAATTCCTTTGTGGAATCTATGTGTTTCTGAATGCATATTATATTGAGATTTAAAATACAGGAAACCAAACAGCAGGATATGAATTTATTTACAGGCATATGTATGTGTTTCTGTGTACGTGTATGACACAGGTACTCCACACGCTGACAGTTGGCTATACAACGTATTTAAAAAGAGAGGTTTTGCAATCAGCCTGCTACAAGGTCATCAACACTGATGCTCCCCTTTAGGGTTAGGGTGACCATCTCCAGCATTTCACAAACCAAGGCTATTGGACTTCCTAATTGTCATCACTTCACATAATCATTCTCTAACTCAGGGCAGTTTGTTATACTTGTGATCACTTCCTACCCAACATAAGCGGCCACTCAGTAAAAGTAATGTTGGGCAAGAGAGTGATGTGCTACATAAATAATCAAGGAAGAGGAAGATAGTAGTCTCTCTCTGCAGAGTTAATAAGGCAGTGGAACTGGTGTATGTCTCAGCATATAAACGCCCCAATATTCTACCTGATGGGCCAGCAAAATGACTTGGCAGACTCTCCAGGCAAACACTTTTGCCATGACCATGAGTGGGAACTCAGCAATTTAGTTTTGGTACATCCCAGAATTAGCTCTCTTTATAATGCCATCCAACACATAGGGCCAGAGCTTCATCTTGAGGGAGGATTACAGTCTCAATCTGATGGGGGACAGCCTCCTCATTCCTTGATATCACACCCTGTAGTATGCTTACTTTCCAACACCATTGATTCTTCATGGCTTTGAGCAAAGTAAAACAAGAGGAGCATTAACTACTCTACTAGCACCATCAAGGTTGAAGAAAGCGTGGTTCCTGTGTCTGTTTTGCCTCTTCACTTTCCTCTGACAGCAGATGTCCTGACACAGGAATCAAGCACTATACCCCACCCCAGCCTCTCATCACAGCACCTCAAGGTCTGTTAAGACTGCAGTCCCGAGCAATAGAAAAACCCACCATGAGGAAAAACTACCGGTAAAAGTGGAGGTGTTTCCAAACCCGATGTGCTAATTAAGCTATATCTTCTACCCAACTTTCTCCTCAGGAACATATTTCATTACCAACTGAAGTCAAAGGTTTTTGTACATCCTATCACTGACAGGTTCGGTTAGATTTTGTATAACCTTTTTCCCCCACCTCTTTTATGCTGGGACCTTAGCCTAGTTCTCAGTGCCTTAAGAAAATCTCTGTCTAACCTCCTGGGGAACTGTTCCTTCTATCATTTATCCTTCAAGATCTCATTACTCATGAGCACATAGAGCTAGATAAATTCCTGGAGAACAGATCAATCAACAATGTTTAACCAAGGTGGGCAGAGAAGATGTCTTTAGCCTCTGTTTGCCAGAGTCTGGGAATAGATGACAGAGGATGGATCACTTGATGATTACCTGTTCTGTTCATTCCCTCTGGGGCATCTGGCATTAGCCACTGTCGGAAGATGGGATTACAGCTAAATGGACCTTTGGTCTGATCCAGTATAGTTGTTCTTACGTTTTTACCCTCTGGGCCAAAATTATGGTTGAGAGAGCTTGGGGCATTCATAACTGACCCTCTTTGCAAACATTTCTATTGTAATAAAGCAACTCTTTAACCTCTATTCATTTCCTGCTAAAGGTCTCATCAGAATTTCACATCTGTCAGTACATTCAGTTGGCAGTGTTTTACTCCAAGCGTTACTCTTCAAGAAAGAAGGCTAGTCTACATATTCTGAGATGTGTGAAGGGCTCTTACTTTGATAGAATTAAATACTTCAGGGCCTGCCCAGACCTTTTTTGTCTCTTTCATAAAAAGAATGTTAGAACAGCCCATTTTTTACTCACAGACTATCAAAATGACCTCAGGGTGTATCTTAGATTGTTATGAAACTTCTGGAATGCATCCCCCCCCTAGAGTGATTGCTCATTCCACAAGGGCTCAATCTATCTCCAGAGCCCTACTTCAGAATATAACTATCATGGATATTTGTACAGTCACTGTGCAGTTATCTGTTCTCATGTTTTCTCAGCACAACACTACAGTACTTGCTTGTGAGGGTCTTTCTAGCAGTTGAGAGACTTGAGAGCACTCGAAGATATAGTAACATGCCTAAAAAGAGTAAATGGATATGAGATCAAGAGTAATCCTTCATCTTCTTCACAAATGTACAAGCTGTCATGTGGTTAGCAGTTGATGACAAGCTCGTACTGCAGACTGTAGGCTCTGCTGTATTGTGGAAATGAGGCTGTACATTGGAATGAACCTGTCCATTCGTAGGTATGCTCTGGTGGTTAAGAAGTCTAGGGTGGCTCCAGTGAAGTCTATGTGTTGTACAAGTATCGAGGAGATAATTTGGGGAATTGATATATGTACAATTCATGAATTCTTGAGATTATGAACTGTGACCCAGATTCTCAGGGTATTTAGGTTCCTAACCTCTACTGATTTCAATGGTTTCTAACTTCTAATGATTAATTTACATGACAATTAGAAGCATAAATATCTTTGACTTCTATATATATGTATCTGTGTCAGACTGCAAATGTTATTTTGAACTTGGGCTTTGTCTGTCTTCTGTCTTTGTACCTCCAAGTTGGACTGGACTTCTAGGGAGTGGTGACACAGGGTTAACCATAAAAAGTCACGTTAGTCTTCAATGGAAAAATTCAAAAAACAACGAAAGGTCTTGCAGCACCTTAGAGACTAACAAAAAAAGTAGAGGCTGTCATGAGCTCTCGTGGGCACAACCCACTTCTTCATATGAATGGAGCAAGGGGTGATGGAAAAGTGGGTTATGCCCACAAGAGCTCATGACACCATCTACATTTTTTGTTAGTCTCTAAAATGCTGCAGGATCTTCCGTTGTTTTTTGAGTTTTGTCATATAAAAAGTATTTAAATCTTGATAATCTTCTATTCCAGTGCAAGGACACACATACAAAGCCTTGCCAGGAAAATTGGTCCACCAGATAGACAGTAACTGAGCAACATATGAGCCGGTGGGCAGCTCTGATTGCCTTAAAAGATTGATTATTGCCCTGACAGTGGGCATTGGAACTGTATGCAAGGACGACTTTCTATGATTCTTTGATTCTTGCAAGCTGAGAGAAAGAGAGAGACAAAAGAACAAGCAAGTGTGTACATGTGCACAACCCAACCAATGATTCAGAAGAGAAATCAAGTGAAGGACAAGGGATCCAGGACACTCTACAGGACTCTGACCAAATCCCAAAGACCACCCAATAGTGGTGAGGAAATGAAAGGAGGCAAGGGTCCATAGTGTATTTATTTCTGGATCTGTACATCTCTTGTGCTCTTTAAAGAAAATAATAATTGTTTTAGAATCCTTTTAGCAAAGATGTTTATTATGTGCTTCAACCATCATGTGTCCACGGAGAAATCAAATGCTCACAACGATGGAACTCTAAGGAAAGGTGTGCTTAAGCCACTGGAGAGACTGAGAGATCAGCACTTGTCCCGAGTGCCCTGCAAGATCCCACACCTGTGAGGGTATAACAGACACAGTCTATGCCCATGAAGTGTGCCAAAAAGCTAAGACACAGTGACTTGAGCCTACCAAGATTAAGGAAAGTTTAAAAGCATGTGGGAACAGCATGTGGAAACCCTCTCCTTCCTCCCCAGCAACCTGATGAGTTCTCAACAAGGGATGCTTTCCCAGGGCTGTGTGTGATGGGGATTATCTAGACCCAAGTGTTTATATGGTTGAAAAATGACTGATTCATTATTGCCAACTCTAGTGATATTATCATTCATGCCTTTAGTGATGAGGGGGTGGTTTTTTTACTTCTCTCATGAAAATATGATGAAAAGAATGAATTTTCCATTGTTCAAGAAGGCCATTATCTCCTATTACTGGCAATAGGGCTAAAGTCAGCAAGATGGCCACCATTTCCTCATAGTGCATGTGGGAGTCAAGCTGCTTTTCTTAAAGTTGGCTATCATGTCCTACTATTTTTAGTGAGATTGAAGACATGCCCACATGGCTTCATGATAGGACATGGACTATGAGGCACTGCAGAGACTCTATGAAAGGTGGATGGGGAGAGTGAAGGACAGCATGGCCCAGCGGGAGCAGGGGACAGATTCAGGAGATGCAAAAGGGACGCTGAGGATGGGGGTGAGGAGAGGAAGGAAAGAGGCTGAGGATGTGGGAGTCAGGAGGGAGACTGAGGAGGTGGGGTAGGAAATGGATGGGACAGGATGGTAGCTCCCCAATCCTGGCTGTAGTGGTGGGTTAAAGGAGTTCCCTCTAGGTAGCAATGGTACAGTGTTGCCAACTTTAGAACAGACTGCAAGTCACAGGATTTTACACCTAAGAGAGGAACTCTTGCAATAAAACAAGAAGCAGCTCTGAACCCACAATTTCTCCTCTACCTGGTAGAAATGTTAGTGCTACTGGGTCGGGGGAAAGGGAGAAGCCCTGGAAGATGGGGCTCAAGACAGGAGATGGGAGAAGTCAAGACAGTAACAGGAAATGGATGGCAATTCCCCTGTCTTAGGGGTAAGGAGAAGATAAGTGGACACTCCATATTGAAGAACC